ACTGTAAGTATACCAGCCTTAGAAAGAATGAGGCTGTTTAAGTTTGTCGAAGTTTGTATGGAAAGACTTGGCAGTGTAAGTTACTAAAGGAGTTTTATTTCCTGATAAATGGAGGTTTCTGTTGTTTTTTTCATTGTTCACCCAATGTAGGATTTGCAGAGGGTTATGCATTTGCATATAGGAAGATCCATTTGTAACTTCATCAGATTTTGAAGGTGTAAAATTTCAGTCTTTTTTAAGTTGTAGAGTCTTAGATTTGCATAGCTAAGAAAAAATTCATACACAAACAAAAATTAACTAAAAATTCTCTTGGGGGGTGACTATGATGTGTTCATTCAGCCAGATGCCATTCTCAAGTTCTCCCCTCAAGCACCAGTAAGTAGCAGAAGTAAATATTTGCTGCTTACTGTTAGTCTGTCTTTTACCAGAGGAAATTGTCAATGAAAATAGCAGAGTTTGGCTAGAAGCCCTAATTTTAATTTGTCTTTTGCTATTACGAACTTTTGCAAGTGATCTCAGCATATCTGTAAAAAGTTGTCCTCTTCTTGATTTAAGTGACACTAAGAACCCCCAGGACACATGATTTTTTTGGGACAGATTAGTGTTTGTAAGTTAGTATTTTATAGTCTAGTTATTTAACTCCTTAAATTAAATTATTTAGATTGAGTTTTATTAAAACTGGCTCAGTTTTTATCTAGTTTAACATAGTTACAGTACACCAGTTGGAGTTATATGTGTGGAATCAACAATTCCGTGTTCTTCAGTTACTGTATTAAGAATGAACATATTTAGAAAATTCTTTTGTCTATGTGCAGGTAATTGTAAGTGTAGCAGTCAATTATGGCAATTCTAGTGTCTATTTTATTTAGTCTTGCAGTTTGGAAATTTCCTTCAAAATGAAATAATTGTTCCATCCCACATTTGTGTGGAAGTGGTCTTTGATGATACCTTATAGTTTTAAAAAGTGTGCTTCAAAATCCTTTTAATATGGGAAAAAAAAACCTAAATAACTTTCACTTATTCTAGTTAAAGCCGAAACAAAACAATGGAGATTATCTGTGGAAATACAATATGGAATAATTTTCTCATTTTGCAAATGAAGTTCAAACAGAATGTTCGTTTTTACACACCAGACAACTGTTAAACTGGGAAGGCTGGGTTTTTACACACCAGACAACTGTTAAACTGGGAAGGCTGGGATTGTTCATCAAGCTTTGTATAATTAGGTAGCTGGGTAATAGAATATAAATGTTAATTGCTTCAATCTTATTTATTTTGTATTTTGTTAGTTATACTCAGAGATGAATTTTAGTGGTAATTACTTTCCATGGCATTTCAAAACTATCTCAAAGTGGAGAAGGAAAAGTCCTTGTGTATAGAATCTTTCAGTGGGCACTGGGTAGAGCTCTCCTAATATGCTAATTGCTTCCTTAGGGGCTTATGGTGATGAATATTTACAATTTTTTTATGTGCAGGAGGGAAGGAGGGGTTTTTAAAAATGCTGATAGAGCTCTGCATTTATGCAGATGAGCATCTTCCTGTTTTGTGTGCATGTTCTTAGCAAAATTTCAATATACGGACCATGGTTTAATGAATTAATTTCCTGCTGCAAGGTGCAAATTAAGTAATTAATGTGAGGTCTGACTTATAATGCTCACTTTCAGTTGTTTCCAGGCAAAATATTAACTGCATAATAGCTTATCTATAGGTTGCAATACTACATTGTTAAAACCCCCAAAGTGCTTTTGCAGTAGACAAGTATAATTTACTAGCTGAAGTCAGATACAGTATTTGGTAGCAGATATCACCAAGTTTCCTTTGGAACCTGCAAAATTTTAAAATTTAAGTAGCCCAATCAATCAATCAATAGAATGATAGGACAAGTAAACTGAATCTTGTTTAGTCCTTATTGGATCTGTATAAAGTTTGGTCTTATTTTAGACTTTGTGAACTGTAGTATTTATCATACTTATTATTATCCTGACACTAGCATGACAGGATCATCTTGCATTTCAACATTCATGTGATTTGAAGAGATGAAATGTGTGACACTGGAAGTCTTCTCAGCAGGGGCAGTCTAGCAGTGACTCCTCAGGACCATGATGCTTTCCTGAAGGGAGATGGACAGGAAGTTCCTTTGTTAAATTGTGATGAGCTCTTTATTTACTGGCCCAGAAGTCATAGGGTTGCCAGTATGGTTCCCATACATAGAAGATACTGACAACATATTTTTTCCCATTGGATGTGGAATAGAGCTGGTCATCACTGGTTTTGAGTTTGCTGAATAAGGATGCATACAGCATCACCTTAAAGTCACATATCAGTGACTTTATTTTTGATTACAAACCGGTCCCCTCGACACCAAACCTGTATCACCTAGAGGAAAAATACAGAATTCCTTTGCTTCAGTGATACAGATTTCCTTCAGAAGGTTGTGTGGGCCAACTCAACCTTCCCTCAGCAATGCTTCCCTTAGAAAAGATTTCCAGCCTTGAGGTTGCCTCCTTTAAACTAACTTTGACAGGCTTGATTTTTATATCTGTAGTTGTCTATTAATTGAGTTTTTTGTTGTGGGTATAATTTCCTTTGATAAAAGGGGGCAGAGGGTAGACAGCAGCACCTGTATCATAGTAGTTCTTCTCTACATAGAAATCATAAGAGAATTGGTGTCGGGAACAGCTTTGTCCAGTCTGGTCTTGGAAACCTCTAAGGATGGGAATGTGCACCTCCTGTGAGCAGCCTGCTCTGCTGCTTAAGGTCTTTTCAATCCACTGGAGAGTATTGTTTGAACTGCGTTAGTATTAGCTCAGGGCATGTCTGGGAGTCCTGGGAGTTGGCAAATACATTTGTACATGAGATGTTAAAAAAGGGTTCCTTAATTTTCTTTCATCTTTAGAACTTGGAAAGGAGCTGGCTCTTTTCTTAGCCCCTTTGCTTCTGTTGTCAAAACTCCTTTTGTTTCTACTTTTCTTCCCCTCCGTGATCCCTAATCCTTCCTTCCTCTGCTTTTCAACTTACTCTTCTTCCCAGTGCCAGCTGAAACCTTGGACCTCTAACTTTTTACCCCTCTCTATCTTTAAGCAGTTACTCTGCTTTATTGTTGGGACATCTGTCCATTTGTTTTACTATTGAGTATGGTCAGTGCCAGCATTTGAGTGCAGAACTTGGTGGGGAAGATCTAGGTGTAGGTGCAGAGAAGAAACTTACTGTTTCTCAGGGTGAAAACCATGGATGAAACTCCTGCCTAGGAGTTCCAGTTGCTTGAAAAGTACTATAGAACATGGTAGTGCTGCACTGCATATTTTTCCTTTTGAGACTGACACAGAATTGACCCAAGTGTTTTCTCTTCAATTAAGTGTGGCCAGGGTATCATCATTATTGCAGTACTAGAAGCCATGCTTGATAAATGACATAATATGCCCAAGGAAATTTTAATTGGTGATGGTGATTGATAATTTGAAGTTGAATAGTTAGGTGTTTTTTGTTTTAGTCTGGAAAATTCACATTTGTATGAAAAACTTAGTAACCTTTGGCGTTATTTCACTGGGTAAGCCTATGTAAGAGGCTTGAAGCTTGTGCAGCAGCACTGTGCATCTCTGGAGTATGTGATGGATGATGGACCAGTTTAGTTTATTTGGTTTATTTTCTGTACACTGCATGCTGTATGTGTGGTGGAGCATGAAGTCTGAGTGCCTTGCCCTGGGTTCTGCAGAGAGGAGAATTTAGGGCGAGCCTAGGCAGAGAAGGGGAAACTGCCTCTTCTCTAAGAGGGACTTGGTGTGGTGTGTTAAGGAATGGGGGAAGGATAAAAAGAAAGACCCCTGATCCTGGGGAGAGTAAAATCTACCTCAGAAGTCATGGAAGTAAGGACACTTTTAGTTACTCTCTAGTAACAAGGAGCAAAGGGTAAAATTACTTAACTCAATAAAGATTCCTGAACTGGGAACAAGTCTGATGAAAGAGTCTGTCCTAGGGTAGATTTTTTTCTTGAGTCTTCTATTTGTCTTGCTCAAAATATCAGTATTTTTCTCTTTACATGATAAACAGCTGTTTGGTTTTTTTTTTGGTGGTGCTTTGTATTTTTTTCAAGGGGGGGTGTTGATGTTTTTGTTGTGGCTTTTTGTTTGTTTGGTTTTGTTTTTTTTAATTTCGTTTTTTAAAATCACACATCTTTAAAGATCAGAGCCTGAAAATGCTTTCTTGAGCCTTTTTGGAAAGGCCTTTTGATGTGGCATCAGTTGCTGAATCATTTCCTAGTGGACAAGTGGCAACCACTAAGCAATCATGACTTCTGGCACTTTTGTGAGTAACAGCAGGTGATCTAAGCATTGGATGAGTTCTGAGATGTTTATTACCTTCTTGTTACTACAGAAGTTTCATTAAGGTCCTGTCTGAGGCAAAACAGCATTTTGGGAATATTTATGACAGTGGATACAAGTGCATGATAACAAATCCATTTTCTTGCTAGGCCTCTCACTTACACACTCCTAAGGAGTATGGTCTGACTTTAATATGCTGTTTTTGCTAGGTTTTGTTTTCTGTTTGTGTGTCCTGCAGGAGAACGACTCAGGAACATTGGATACAGTTGGTGCAGTTGTTGTTGATCAAGAAGGAAATGTCGCTGCTGCTGTCTCCAGTGGAGGTTTAGCACTGAAGCATCCTGGAAGAGTTGGTCAGGTGATCACTGTACATTTTTTGTTTAGTTGGGAATGATTGTTCAGTGTCACAAGCAGGTGTGGTGTCAAGCAAGAGCTGTGACAGCAAACTTCTGTTCTTCCTGTTAAATGCTGAAGGCATTTTCACTGTGTTGATATGCAAGTGTTGTTTTTAGTGTCCTCCATCAGTGTAATAAAATAGTGATAATAAGATGCTCTGTAGTCAGTTACCTTTTTACAGAGATATCAGTAAGTTAATTTCTTGGGCTTAAATACCTTCTTAATACCACAAATGGTCTCTTACACGCATAGAGTCTTACAATAAGATTTCTCTCAATATTTAGGGAAGCTGTCCTAATTAATTTTTAAATGATCTTGTGAATTGGAAGAAGTGACAAAAGTAATAAAAGAACCTATCAGGTATTTATGATGTGTTATATATAATTATGATTATGTTTATAAATTATGTATAGTTCTATTTATTATTAATGTTAATAATAATAATATATTTGTGATGTGTCACCTTGTTGTTGTTAGGGACTTTTGAGGTGCATCAGAAATTTTATACTCCATTGCTGTACAGCTGTATTTTTGGTTGACATTTTCCACTGTCCAAAAAGCAGTTCTCTTTTGAAATGTATTTAACATTTTTTTTGTCTGTTTTTTGAATAGCAGACTGAAAGAGACTTTATATGAACAGGGTTATCTCTACCCTCATTTTCTGTTAAGCTAGGCTAGAATACTGTATCTATAACTAACACTTAGATCTCAAGAATTGTAAGAGGATGTAGCACTTGGATTTTTCTTGGGTTTCTTTTTTTGTTATTGTTGTTGGTTTGAGGTTGTTTTTGTATTTTCGTCTTTTTTTAAAGGAAAGGGAATAAACCAAAACTCTCATACACTTAAAATTTATGAACAATGTGCTTCTTTCCTTAGGCAGCTCTTTATGGTTGTGGCTGCTGGGCTGAAAATACAGGAGCTCATAACCCTTATTCCACTGCTGTGAGTACTTCAGGTATTTACTACTTTTATAAATACTTAATGAAGTTGCTATCTTTCTCTGTAATTAGTTTTCAAATTTAAAATACCAGCAGCATTTCCAGACTATGTTTTAAATTTGTATCATTTATTTGCATATATAGGTATGTCTGTGTGTGTGTGTCAGTATTGCCTTTAAATCCATGAATTGATCTCTTGCTGGTTGCTTATGTTGCCCTTTTTACTTAATTAGCAACCATGGGAATTTTTATCCTGTTTTGTATTGCACTGAAAGGACATGCTGTATTTGTTAAGTATTAAGGAACCCGTCTCTTAACCTTCTAGTAAGAAGTGCTTATTAGCCCAGTATTGTATTAAATGCAGAATACCATAGGAGTAAGTGTATCAGAAAATATTTATTCAGCAATTGTGGAAGTGGTGTAAGAATTAGGATTGCTTCTGTTCTCTTTGGAAGGCTCAGGATCCTGGACACACAAAAGTATTGTGTTCATTTGATGCCTTGCAGAACACAAAAGTCGTAAGGTGAAATTATCTAGGAGATGCTTTTACTTTTTTTTTTTTTCTTCCCCCTAGTTGTATGAACTGCCTCAATCAGAAAAACTACTTGTAACACATTTTCATAAGTGCTTTTGTCAGGTTGCAAAATTTATGGTATTGCCCACTGCTCAGTGGTCAGAGTTACCAGCATTCAGCACAGGAAAAGATGAAGAAAATCTGCAGAGTTCAGATTTGGGTAATGTCATCTTTATCCCATGGGCAGTGCAGAGTTAGAGTCCTGCTACAAAAGCAGTGGGGAGAGCAAACTGACAGGCTGCAGAATTAAAATTTGATAGAAGCTGAGGAGCATCAGGAATATCCTGTCTTGCTTTTATTTCCCTTGTATTCTGCATTTAAT